GATGTAGTCGACTATGAGTCTGGCGCCTCTTTCCCAGCATGGGATGACGAGGAAGGCGAGCTGCACAAGCAACGTAATACGAGCCCTGCTCGCGCCTTGCGGACCCCATGTCCGTTCCCTGACTTCTCGTCAACCGAGGAACGTGGTGTAATCATCAATGACATCGACGGGGCTCAGAGGCGGCAGCTTGAAGGTACCCATTAAGCGGCTCTGATGTGCGCCCATCCACAACCGGTCATTGACCCTCGTGTGATGTATGGATTCCGCTCTGCGGATCCCGCTTTGGAAGCGAAGGACGCGGTAACTCGATCGTTACGCGTCCACATCATCGGCCCCCCGGCCAGAACGGAAGATGAACTTGTCAAATGGAAAGCTCTTCGAGCTCGTTTCTTGATCCCACAAGAAATTCCGTTGGAGACTTGTCGCACTCGTCTGAGTGCACAACGAGGTGGCTCACGTGTACCCGCAATGCGGACAATACCTGTAGTGCTCGCCCTTGGCGAAAGCGCTACAGATGATGAGGCAATGGGTGCAACGGCACCGGAACCTTTCCTCATTGCATAACCTGCAGATGAGCCTTAAGAAAGTGGACGTGCGAGGGAGCGATACCTCCGCTTTGAGTTTGCCAAACTCAAGGCACGCCGTCAACTTCCTTCGGATTGTTGCCCTGCGACGTATGGGTTCACAACCTCTAATGCTCCCGCGAGCTCTGTGTCTTCGACCGCAAGAGCTGAAGGCCACTGCTTGATCTCAGCTCATGGCTCTATTACTTCCCTGGCTATTGCCGCGAAGCGGGGCGTCTGATTACGCTGGACGTCCTGCTCGTTCCGATCAAAAGCGTCCACGACGATTGGGCAATCTTGCCGAAGTGGCGCCTCAAACCCCCACGAGTTTCCAGAGTCGGGATATCCCCGCCACTTTACAAGATATTGATTCTGGCCCTGGTGACGACGTCGTCGTACTAGACGTTCCACGTGATAGTGGACGTCACCGTTCTCATCGAAAAGAGTTGTTGGCGGGCGGTGACAAACGGGTCGACCGCCACCCGGTGACTCGTGATGCTCTCGAGCCCTTGAGGAAGAGATCCGTCGTGATCGGCGCTCCGCTGAGCGTCATGCTGAAGTAGCATATCGCTGTGCGGA